TAAGACTGTGATTGAAAATTCATTTTTATGCATTAACTGGTGAAAGACTATTGTTGATGTCAGTGTTTAGAGGAAATCTCAAACAATTTTTTGAATGTTTTTAGATATTTTGGAACAACATAATGATCTCATTCTTAATGGAGAATCGGTCCATGTACATAGCTCCTCTCAATTATTCTCCCACCCTTTTATCCAGTCCTTTAGCCTTTCCTCCCACATCTCCCAATCTCTTAGTAACTTGCCCTATTTCAAAAGTTATTTCTCCTTTTGTCTATCGTTTCTTTCTTACTGTTTCAATCAAACCTTAGTTCACAGAAAAAACAGAGCTGTCTTTTAATGGTTTTGCTATGATACAAGATGATTTCAACTGAAAAATGACTATTTTTGACACATAGACTTCTTAAAAATGAAATAGACAATTTAGCGTTTGTCAGATAGGATAAAATCTTTATTCAAAATCATGACTTGGGGGCTGGGGATTTAGCTCAGCGACATAAGTGCCTGCCTTACAAGCAGGTAGTCCTGAGTTCAATCCCCGGTACCGATAAAAAGGAAAAAAGTAAAAAAAAAAATCATGCCTTATTTTGATTAAAAATACAGTGATTGTTTAAATTAAATTCCTGCTAATTCTCCTAATATACTTTCAAAACACCTGCCATATAAGTCTTGCTAATTTCTTAACCAGTTTTGAATTCTTCTCTGTGATTTTGTCTGGTTACCTAGTCATGGCTGAGTTGATGTGCTGAATACATTTAACATGTTTACATTTTATGGTCAATTTGACTGTGAGGGAGATTCAGAGACAACAGAATCTTTGAAGCAGTGAGTAATGTGACTGCCAGTAAACCCTAATATTTTAATGTTCCTATATTTTGGTTGCATTAGGCACCAATATCAAATAAAATTTTATTACACCTCCTAAAGAGAGTTGTGAAAAACATCTTCTATAATTTCTTCATTAGTGTCAAGAATCATAGGTAAGTGGATTCAAAGTAGGAAGCGTCTTTGGCAATGTGTAATAAGTTACAGGGAATAAAAAAAAGTTTTCTACATAACAATAGATGGAGGGATTTTTGACAGAATCATTTTAATGTTATATATATATATATATATATATATATATATATAATTGAATAATCTGTCTCAATGAAGTGAATGGTTTCTTGGTATTTGAACATCAATGAATGTAAATAAGCCGCTGAAGAGAAAAAAGCAGCAGTTAAATAGGTAACTTACAAGAGAAAAGAGAAAGTATCTTTAGAGTGTGAATATGACCAAAAAAAAAAAAAATAGCAAAAAGTTCCACAAGCTGAAAATGAAAAAAGTCAGATTGGGAGAGCAAGAGGCATCGTGGAAAGTAGACAAGTAGAGAAGACAGGCAGGTCTGAAGGAGAAAGCCTAGGGTAAGGTGTTGAGGATTAAACAAGGGAGACTGTGCAGCAATCCCCCTGGTGATATCACCTCTAAGAGATGCAAATTAAATCACACTGATACCCATGAGTACCCAAAGGGAGTCTCTGCTTCAGTCTGACTCTTGTGCAACTGCTGCTCACATTGGGTAAATGCCACAAAATTCTGCCCATTGCTTTAGAAAACTTGCTAATGGCCATTCGGGTTAATAAATATAATTTGTATTTCAAGCTTGGAACATGAATTCTTTGTTCTTCATCCGAAATGCGTGAAGTCTCAGGAAACATAAAAGTTTCCATGCTTTAAACAGAAAATTAGGTCAAATATTTTTCAGATCTACATTTTCTGTGAAAAATTTTTCACTGTTTCTTAAGAGTATCAAAAATGATGTTAATTTTAAGTGAGTTCAAACGCTAAAACTGAATTTTGTTTGATTTATTTTAGCCATATACCAGAGATAGAATGTGATCTTGTAGGAGAAAGAATACCAAAGACAGAAAAAATTTCAAAATATGAACTATATAATATCAAAAATAGTACCAAAATTGATAGCAATAGTAATCTCTTTTAAATAGCTGTCTTTTGTCACATGTATTTTACAAATGCTTTTAATATCACAAATTACATGGTCATTATTTCTTAATATATGGCTTTAAATGAAAACTTTAAAGGATATTTAGAAAACGTGTATAGTAAACTTTAATCGTGTGTCTGTAGATACATAAACCATCCACCAGTAGGAAAAAAAAAAAAAGGACTGGCTTCCCCATGCTTCTGCCCTGCCACTGTGGGCTAGACAAGTTGTCTGTACATGCAACCTCCACTGAACATGCAGAGACTCTAAGCTTGCTGCAATAATAACAGGTCTGATGTCTCTGCCTCCATATCTGTGTCTTCCCAATTCTTCCTACAACATGTAATAGTCTCCAGGCACAATAATCTGGGTCATCATTGTATTTGAGAGTTAATTCATCTTCAGGGGCTCATCTGTGTATTCCTCAACATGTCTTCCCTGTATTTAATCATGAAGAATGGCTCATCTTCATGCTCCTGTGAATTTCCTTTCTCTTGGTGAAATGATCTTTAACCCCATAGCAGCCTTTTACAACTGTGTTCTTTTGGATCCAAAATTACTTTGTGCAGTTGATATGTATGTTGGGGATCAAGAAGAGTCAGAGACTGCAGCACTTATGTAATGTATGATTAAGTTTAGGTGAAGTTAAAAAGATCACATACAAAAATCTCAGAAACTCAGGAGTCATGTAGCATACTATAAGGAATGACAAGTAGAGCAAAAGACAGAGCTGAGCTTTCAGATGTGGAAGACCAAATCATGATTTCCACAGGACTGGAAGAAAGTAATGGGGAAAAGCCTTTGTAGGTGAGAGCCATAGAAAGCTGAGCTAGGGAAGATAGCACTGAGTAGAATCGGTAATACTGGTATAACATTTCCTGGCTACGGTGCAAAATTTCCTTCGTGTTACTTTATGGATTAATCATATTCAACTTTACATCTCTAACTCAGAATATTGATTTTTGTTGTGGTCATGTCACCTAAGACTGAATGAATTAAATAAAATGCACAGGTATTGAAATAAAGAAGTCAGCAAAGTATCTTGTGGTTTCTGATGTTGTGATAGATCTGGAAAATACTCTCTTTGCTGGAAAGACAACAATAAGAGCATGTCAGAACCATAAAGAAAGGATTAGAGCCCTCTACTCACAGAAAAGCAGGCTCTTTCGGTTCTGTGGCCCTCAGAGAGAACCACCATCTCTACAATCAAACAGCTACTCTCCTAATTCAATCAGGGAACCTGGGAACTATGAGCCTGAGCCCAGTTATCAGCCCTTGAATTAGCATATACAAGAGCATAGACCATTCTTTGATCTCTCTCTTCATATCTTCTCTGTCTCTGTCTCTGTCTCTCTCTGTTTCTCCCTCTCTGTCTCTGTTTCTCTGTCTCTCTCTGTCTTTCTCTCTGTCTCTCTCTCTGTCTTTGTCTCTTTGTCTCTCTCTCTCTCTCCTTCCTCTCTTTCCCTTTCTCTGATTCTTGCTCTCCATATGCTTCACTCCATGATGGTAAAAGAATAATCACAGTAAACCAACAATGGATATTAGCATCAGACTCACCATGACATAAGCTACTTTGTATAATCAAACAGAAGACCATACCCTCACAGGGATTTAAATTAAATCTAGAGTCAGGTAAGAAATAACACTGTTGCTGGCATATTATTTGCTCCCTGGGATTCCTCCCCTGCGGCACTACACTGTTCCAGTCCGGTGTTGCAGCAGGTGTCCATGTCCATTTTGTGTCTCTTCATCCTCTTGTGGGGACAGATTCTGTGTTCTTAAAACTTTAAATCACCCAACACACAAGTCCGTGACCAGAATCTCTGCTCTGTTGTCATGAACTACAACAAAATAGATGCTCATCATCGCAGAACACTTTCACTAAGTTTCATAGGTATATGTAATGAAGATCACTTTTTTACTTTGTATTCATTTATTTTTTGTTAAAGAAAGTTTTTCTGGCCAAATTAATAAATAAATCAGTCAGTTGTATTTTGTCTGTAGTGACTACCATTTGAATATCACGAAAGAATCATATTATTTTTGTACTGTTTAAAAATGTATTTTGGAGGGCTGGGGATTTAGCTCAGCGGCATAAGCACCTGCCTTGCAAGCAGGCAGTCGTGAGTTCGATCCCCGGTACCGATAAAAACGAAAAAGACAAAAAAAAAAAAAAAATGTATTTTGGAGTGGGGATTTAACTTAATGGTATAAGCATCAGCCTGGCAAGTGCAAGGTTGTGAGTTCAATCCCCAGTACCACACAAACATGCCACACACACACACACACACACACACACACACACAAACACAAAGATGTATTTCACAATATTCCCTTTTCAGATATTCTATTATCTCTTTCTCTATATAATGAAATTTTCTTTGATTCTGGAATTTTACAATACATCTGGAAAAAAGATATTTAAAGACACTGTGTAGTATTTATACATAAGAAAGTAGGCTGGGGGCTGGGGATTTAGCTCAGCGGCATAAGCGCCTGCCTTGAAAGCAGGCAGTCGTGAGTTCGATCCCTGGTACCGATAAAAAATGAAAAAGACAAAAAAAAAAAAAAAAAAAAGAAAGTAGGCTGGTTACCCACTATGGGCACACTTGACACCAAGACCATTGCAATGGTCAACATTTTGTCTTTTCTTCTTCCAGTATTGGCTTCCTCACATTGCTGTCTCTATGAGTCTGTAACACAAATATTAAGTTAAAGACCTGGTAACCTCATACTGTAATTATACAATATCATTACAAACACAAGAACACTCTATAGAATACTAGGTAGAATACATATTACAAAAACAGACCTAAGTACATTTTAAATTTTGAAAAGTTCCTCCCCAATATTTTTTGTAATGAAATGTCCTATCAGAAGAAACCTCCTGAACATAGGGAAATCTTTTGCCTTAGTTTCTCTCAAGGCTTTGGTGCTTTGGACCATGAGGTTGTGCTGAGTTATAGAGATGAGCCTGCCCAACAGCTGTGTCATCCCTGCTGATTTGCATGTGCCCAGATCACAGCCTCCACCCTGAAAACTACTTATTAGACCGGTCACACCCTAAGCAGGAGTCTCTCCCAGTCAGGACTCAGTGCAGACATGAGGGTCTCCAGTCAGCTTCTGGGGCTTCTGCTTCTCTGGATCCCAGGTAAGGAAGGAGCACAATGGTAATTTCTTCACCCTAAAATCTTTACTGCTGCCTGGTTCTGGAGAAGTGTTGCTTTATCATGCTCAATTGTGTGAATATTTGCTTTTTTTGTTTCGCATGGCAGGTAACAAATGTGACATCCAGATGACTCAGTCTCCCTCCTCCATATCTGCATCCATAGGAGAGAGAGTCACCATCAGTTGCAGGGCAAGTCAGGGTATAAACAAATGGTTAGCTTGGTATCAACAGAAACCAGGGAAAGCTCCTAAACTACTGATCTACAAAGCAAACATTTTGGAATCCGGGGTCCCCTCTCGGTTCAGTGGCAGTGGAGAAGGGACAGATTTCACTCTCACCATCAGCAGTCTGGAACCTGAGGATGTTGCAACTTACTACTGTCAGCAGTATGATAGCACCCCTCCCACAGTGATACAAGCCATAACATAAACCCCCAAGGAAGCAGAAGTGTTCAGCCTGCCTTCCCCATCTGGTCTTTGCATTGTCTCAGAATGATGAGAGTTCCTCAGATTCATCCAGTTTTGAATGTACTGGAAGTTCTTTGTGTATGGATCAAGAATTTGCCTTCTGCCTCAGGTTTTTCTCCTATTTCTCATCCCCAACATCAGAAAACTGAAAAAACCTGTCTCATATAATAAAAGACACATCTTATCAGCAGGATATTTGAAGTTATGATACCAGTTGAAAGTGAAATGATAAAAAAAGAAAAGTCACTGTAGATATTCAAAGCCAAAACTATCTTTCTAGAGATATAACCTAAACCATAAATTTTAATGCTTTTGGGGTCTATGTAGAGCAGAGTATTGGCATAGTCAAAGGATATTCTTGTGTTCTACCAGAGTCTAGAATCATCTGCCACTAAATGTACGGGCTACCTAATCACATGGTCCACTGCCTACACCAGAGAACCTAAGAATAGTGTGTATGGATGCTGTGTGTTGAATGCAAACCTTCACTTGTTGATTCTCTTGTCTGTTTTGCCCATATGTCTGTAGGTGTCACTAGATAGTCTCTGAATGCCAGATCTCATGGGAGGCCTTCTCACTGTCAAAAGCTATAGTAAAGTATAGAAGCAAAGTAAATTCTGAGAAACATTCTTCCCAAGACCACACTGATTTAAATTAAAAAAAAAAAAAAAAAAAACAGAAAAAATCATGAAGTAATAGGCTCCTGCATTGATTTCAACATGATTTGCAGTAGCCTAGGAAATGGTATCATGAATCAACTTACAGAATTACATATAATGTAATTGTGTCTACACAACATCAGAAAGAACAGAATGGAGAGCCCATGTACAGAATGGGAACAAAGTTCACCTAGTTAATTTGTCCACAGAAGTATAATACTAAGAAAAAAAAGAACTCCAAAACATAACACCAAATGGGAAAAGGAAAACATAATCATCAAAACAGTAAGTAAAATAAGGCCAGTAATTTTAAGAATAAAATGCTGCATATATTCATCCATCATGGAAATGCAAATCAAAACTAAAATGGGATTGAACCTAATCCTTGTCATGAGGGCTATTGTCAAGATTTCAAAAACAACCAATGCTGATGAAGATAAGGACACTTCTACATGATTCATGGAATGTAAATTGGTAACATTTAGGTTCAATAACTGTTTGCTTGGTTATTGATCATCTTTTAAAAAAGTTTCTGATCATTAGGTTTTTTTCACTAATTTATACTCTTTTATAAAAAAGACTTGTGAGAAGATCTTTGCTGACATTGTGCTGCAAATATGCCCAGTCCCCATATATTTTACTTAAGTGGGTATTTCCGTAGGGTTCTTCTGCATTGATTCTTCCTCACTCCCTATTCTGCTATGATTTAACACACTTTTTTTTTTACTTTACCAGGACACACAACAAAGTAGTACACAATGGCATTCCAACCTAACCAGAGAAGCTTGCAAAGTTATGCTCTTTGTACCAAGCTAGCTACTCAGCAAAGCTCAGGAAAAACAAGGATTATGTTAGTGTACTAAGCAGACACATCACTCTGATAAGAGACCCTGTTTCACTAGAAATGTCTTTTGAGTTATGATCATAGAATATTTGAAAAGCAAACTTGTGCTTTCATTTGATTTTGAAGATATAAGCCAGACAACAGTGTGATTTTGTTTGGAAGGATTTTTCATTGGAACACAATCACAGCCTCTCCCTTAGGTAAATTTTTCGTCTAAAACTCATGTACTACTGATTGTGAGATGTATATAATTCAGGTACACTGAACTTCATCAAGAAAAAAGCCTTTTTCATCCACCCAAACAGTTTATCTATCAACTACCCCTTTAGTTATCTTTGGCACTTTGAACTACATGTTAAAAATGATTTTTATTTCAAAATACTCTTGACTTTGCTCTCACTTCCTCTTTTTAACAACAAATGATATATCCTACATCAGAAAAGTAAATCACCTAGGGTCGAGGTTGAATTCCAAAGAAAGAAAATAAACTTTTGTATTTTAAAACTTCATATACTTTCTTAGTTCTCAGAAAGAAATTAAAACGTATGATGATGTATCAAAATCATGGACAGGTTCACTTGACCACTGTGAATTGTTCGAAGACTGAAGTACATTTTGTCATTTAGAAACCATTGACAAACTTTTAACCAAAGGAGTAACCTAGGACTAGCTGGGTGTGAGGACACATTGGACCTGTCTCAGAATATCCCTAGTAACAGTCACAAAAACACACATACACACATGCATGCACACAAATGCATGCACACACAGGCACATTGAATAAACAAAACACAAAATGTGCTAAAGAAAGATCTGTATATAGTTAGCAGAAATCTATACACTCAGCCCTGATACAGAGTAGTGGATCACTTAGATGGTCAGCTGTGTTTCCCCATGAGCAACTAAAGAACATTTTAAAGAATGTTGCTTGATCTCCATATTTCACAGAAGGGTTCTGAGGGACAGACTAGAGTGCTAGGATTCAGTTGACTCAGCCTTCCTGTGTCCAGTCCAGATCTCCAAAACTCTACTGGGAAACAAACAGAGGCCCCAGGTGCCTGCACAGCTCACACTGGTTGTTGGAGTGTCATTATTCCTGGGACTTGCTGTATCATTCAAATAATCAGACAGGGCAGTTTATTAACCTCAATATACAATGTTTATTTAAAATAAAGGAATAGGATGGAAAAAACAAGTATGGTAATAAAAAAATCCATGAAGGTATGCATACCATCTCACTGCTAGGACCAGAAGGCAGTGATCCCTGTCTTTGAATCCACTACTGACATCAGATCCTGGCTGTGCTTTCAGGACTCTATCTGGTTGACAGGTTTGGCCTACTGTCCAAACCACTTGACAACTTTAATCAATCACTTTCCATGGTTAGAATTACCCCAGAGGTTTCGTACCTCGACCACAGCACAGGTAACACTGATGCTTTTGTCATCCCATCTCTACAGCTATCTAAATCCCCAGTCTTGGACACCTAGATTTCTATAGTCACAGTCAGGACAACCTTGATTCTCTTCCTTTTCTTCTCTGTGACTCTGGCTCCTACATAAAGCTTTAGAATACTGTCATGGAGGATGAAGTTACCATGCTTTCTACATATTTATTCTGGTTGTCAAAAAAGGGTGGAAACTACAAAAAAGGATGAGAAATGAGAGAACATCATCATTTGGATCCTTCACACCTTTTCATATTTGTTATATCCACCTTATTCCACTGTGTTACAACAAAAAATGCAATAGAATGAATCCCAGCATCCTCAAAAGGAAGGATTCAGGTTGGCATAAATTCTGCAGTTCTTCACCTTGGGAACATAGTAAGTAGCTCTGAAGAATTTCTCACGTCTTAGACAGACCTGTTAGTGTTCCATAATTTCTCCTCACGAGACAGGGAACAGTCTTGACAATGGAGCTTCCCCTAGCCCTTAGGCTGTGCTCCACAGTGCAGTTCCTGAGACTGAGACTCAGTGTTCCACTCAGAAGATCTGCAGCACAGGCCTCCAAGGCATCTATGGACAGGCTGGTGCAGAAAGGAGCCTCCTACTTCACCTCATTCCATCTCTACATTTCCCTTCTTCTTGGAGGAAAGCAAATGTCCTTGTTGCCAGTAAAGAAGATTTTGGAATTTCTGCCTCGTGTAAAGCCTCTAATCATATCTTAGATTCTGAGAAAGAGCAGCGGGGTGCTGAGGAGGTAATGAGGTTTTTGTTGTAGTTCTTTTCACTGTGGATGGGTCACCGCTCCACTAATGACAGTAAAAGCCTGCAAAATTTTTAGCCACGTGACATTTCAAGTTTTTCATAAGTATTAGAAATTATGACAGGAGAGGAATGTATTCATACTTCTTTTCTGAAGTGATCAATGTTTGTGGCAAGAACATTATATAAGTAATTCTGTGATGATGCTACTTTGACTAGATGAGCAAAGAAAGTTCTACTGGACATCTTGGAATGTGTGTTCTTTGAAAAAATAAAGCTGGCAAGTGGGACCATTGGATGCCAAGGAAATGGGCAGTGTAATCTCCTATCCTTGTATCATCTTCTAAAAGGACAAAGTGGTTCTTATAATTGGAGCTTAGTAAAGGGCCATAGACTTGGAGATGATGGTGGCCCTCTCTCACACAAGGCCAGGAACCCTGGAGACTGTCTCCACAGGTGCCTGCAATTAGGAATTTATATCATCTTTCTAATGTATTATAATCTGAAATATTGACTTTATTAAAAAAAATCAGACAGGTGCAAACATTTCTTTGGCCACCTGAAAGCATCACTGACCACTTTCTAATACTTTCTTTTCTAAACCTCAAACCTGAGACTCAGAGAAAAAGGAAAAGTTGGATTTGGCACTGTGACTCCACCCTGCCTTGGTTCAGCTGTCTGAGCCACTCAACTCTATAGACTCCTGATAAACTCTATGGACAGAGCTTTCAGTGGGCAGCCTTAGACTCAGGTGCCTGTGTAGAACACCAAAAAGGTAAAAGTGATAGAAACAGCATGGTGCTGAGTTATGGCATTAATTAACTGAAAGAGAGCTCAAACATGCCTTTAATCCATGCAATGTGACTGCGTCCACATGTGTCAAACACTTCTCAATGAAATTTTGAAATCTCTTTCAAAACTGCTGCAGTCTACTTGAAAGCCAAAATTATATTTTTTAGATTTCTTTTTATTACAGTGTATGATTTTGAACTTTTATTGAAACATTTAGATATGACCTCTGTACAGACAATATACTTATGGCACTGAATGGAAGTAGGAGAATATACAGCTCATATCTCTATCTCAGTTTCTTTTTTCAATTTTAAATTCTTATTTGATGTTACTTTTAGATATCTATCTCCTAGACATTGTATTACATTCGAAGTAGCCTCTGGTGTTTCCTACATGACAAAAGAATCACTCAGAAAATATTGTCAATTCCCTAGGAATCTCCCTGTCACTACTCTGCAGTTTCATTCACATCTCAA